CCCCCCCTCCCCTTCTGAATTCTATCTCCCCTCCTCTCCCTCCTTTCTCCATTCACAAGCCATCCTTACTTAGTGAAGGTAGTATCTGACCTAGTAGCCAAGTGTAGTTATTTTGGAAGTTCCAAAGCAATCCAAATGTCTTACACATGACTTCCTTGTTCCATACCTCACACCTCGGAAAATCAAGGAGAAGATACATAATCTGTTTGTATACTTCCACTCCGTGAAACAATTTTAACAAAGGGGATACCTTGGGGTGCCTTGATGGCTCACTTGGTCATGACCTCACAGTTCACATGTTGCAGCCCCCACTGGGGCTCTATGCTGACAGAGCACAGCCTGGAGCCTGCTTCATATTCTGTCTCCCTCTTTCTCCGTTCCTCCCCTACTCATGCTCTGTCTCTCTCTGTCTCTCAAAAATACATAAACATTTAAAAATTTTTTTTAAATATGGATACCTTAAGTAAAAGCATTACATCAAATTCTCTTGTATTTATTTTACCAAATGATACAAACGCCTTCTAAATCTCCACTGAAAATGGTAGTAAGACAGAGTTGGAAGGTTTGAGTAAAAATGATTGACTATTTAGCTTCTATATGTGGGACTGAGAAGGACCAGGCCAGTGCTCTGGGCTGCACAGCAAACCGACTTTTAGCCATCCCACAGTACTGCTCAACCTGCATGGGAATCCACAGAACATGGCCCATCACATACCAACCACACTGTCACAGGAACACTAGGATGACTTCTTGGAGGAGGTGTTCCCAGAGCTGCAGAAGTAGGCTGAGATGGAAGAGATAAACCTGTGTGACAACCTGGGGGGAGGGGACCACCCCGTGGGAAAGGTCTAGGTCAAGTTTCACCAAGAGAAGGAGGCAGTGCAGACAGAGGCTGACCTCAATAGCCACTAGTTCAACTGGCAGGCCGTGCTTCATGCAGGACTGCCTCCTGTCACTGACTTCCTGGAAATCTTGCTGTGGGCAGTATGAGGTGGGGGCATGTACCTGCAGTGGCTCCTGCAACTTCAGGCACCTGTGGCCCACCCAGCTCCCAGAACCTGTATGGGAGGGAACCCAGACACAGACTAGCCCTGAGCACCATCCCAAGACCGGCACCTAAGTCTGAACCCCCAAAACAGCTGGAACTCCAACCCCCTGAACCAAAGATCAGTCTGAATCTCCAACCCTGAGATAAGTCCCTATGCATCAGTCCTGATACCACCTAGGAACTCTGGTCATCCTAGGGTCCCTCATCCGCCACTGTCCCTGAGAAAGAAACCAACAAAGTTCTTCATACAATGGGTATGACTGCCTCTGAGACTCTGGCTCCTTTGACCTCCTCCCCTAACAGGCACAAATGTTCCTGGTCAGGACGCCTCCTAAGAGCACCCTTAAGTCCCCAATACCACCTTCCCCAGGCACCGGGGCTACACATGTAATCTGTTCAACAAGGGACCTTCTCATAGTAAAGTTCTGTATTAAAGATTAAAAAAAAAAAAGGATTAATAAAGAAGACATTCTCAAATGTTTACAGTGCTACTAATTTCTGGCCTAAAGTTAATTTATTTTTTATTTATTGTTTTTAATCTTTACCAAGCTTTATTGAAACCTGTATGTCAAGGTGACAATAATTCAGTGTTCGGAAAGCAGTAACAAAAAAAAAGGGTGTCCCAGTCTCAGGTTTACCAAATAAATACTGGAAGCCAGGGAGCTGGTTCCTCCATCACCCAGCAAGAACACAGGGCAGAACCATAGCTCTGCTGACTTGAGGGCAGGAACATGCACTAACGGCACATCTGCAGCATCTCCCCGGAAACCACATCGAGTGCGAAGAGGTTTGCTTTGGTCCAGAGAATGTCTTCCCGACATAAATTTAGAAGACTGCTGTCAAGTTTTATTCCAGAGTGAATGACAGCAACTGCGATAGCCTTCATTGCTAAGTAGAGACAAGTCCTGAGCAAGTTGGCATAGGCTAGGGTAGGGTGCTTCTCCAAAGTTTTTAAGGTAACACTGTCCCCTCATTGCAATTAGAAACTGGACGACCTTCCAGCTAACAGTGGTCAGTCCACAGGATCATCCAGCCTAATGGAGAAATCCAGCAGCAGTTTTCAAAGTCTGTTCTAAGAACAGATTATTACTGAATACAGTTCACATGATCTATATTCTAGCTGGGGTGATTTAAAAATTGCCCTAAGGCCAGAGAGTCAGCCACCTCTGGTTCAAAACAAAAATACTTAGTGCACAGAAGCATAAGAAACAATTGTAAAACTTCATTTGGAAATCAGACGGGTTCTAATTTCTATAGAAATTATATTTCCCGGGAGCAGAGAACAGGAGACCATCTATTGCTTTGATTTCAGAGGACAGGTACCTGCTGTTGCCTCACAGCCAGGCCTCAACAGGGGCAAACTGATGGCCTTAAAAACACATATAGGATTAGAAATTTTGTGTGGCCTCATACCCTGCTTCCTAGATCTTCCCAGCAGAGTGTCTAGTGTTCATTTTTGGCTGAAGCAGCAGCCCCACGACCAGTTCAGAACAGCGCCTGTCCCCACACACTGCGGTGTGGGGGCAGGAGGCCCTCCGCTTCCCCTCCCTGTTCGCGGCCTCGGTGTGCCCCGAGGCCCATGGCCACTGGATGCTGAGGGAACTGTTACAGGGCCAGGTGCTTGGGGAGCCACCATGCCTGGAACCAACCTTCGAGCAGGACTACGGTGGGTATGAAATGTCTTATCAAGTGTGAAATGAGACATTTACAGTCTGTTCCCACTAGTGGAAAACATGCATGCATGGGGCCTGGCGGTGCACACCGTTCCTGGAGCCCACCGTGGGTTCCCAGCTCTTCATATGGGCTTGTACAACAAGGTGGTGACATACTTTTTCTTGTACTGGTGAGTCGCGCTGAGCACCATCACTCCATCCTTGGTAGAGAGCTCATAAAGGTGGTTCAACATGATGTGGTTGGGCTCGGGGAGCAAAGCTGGATCACAAGAAATCCCTGTGTCCTTGTTCAGGATGACCTGGAGCAGATGTGGCAGGAGAATGGGCGGTGCTTTAAACTGTTCTTCTGGTTTTGAGACATAGGGCTCCTGATGGTAGGGGCCTGGTGGGGAGCTGGACAGCTCAGACACATCAGAGCACTTTTGGGAATCCACCATTAAAGCATCAAATACTTCAAAGTCAGTTTTATTCACTTGAATGATGTTAACTGTGCCAAGCTGGCTGGTTACTATCGGCTCAGAAGGGTCATGTGTCCACTGACCGTCCACAAAGAACTTGTACTGATGCTCTCCTTCAGGCAGGTCCAGGATGGCTACAAAGTTATTACAAAGTTATTGTGGCTTCTCGTGAGGGGAAGTTTACTCCAGTTGTTGAAGGATCTGGATAAGTAAACTTCCTTTCCACCCGCCCTGCGCCGCCGCCCCCCCCCCCCCCCCCCCCCCCCCCCCCCCCCCCCATCGAAATACTGTTGGCCGAGCCTGGGCAGGGGCTTTATCATTCACTTCCAGGTCATGCTGCCAGGCCAGGAATTCTTCCTTCTCTGGAGCCTTGATTTCCTCTAGTGGAAGAGGTCGGCCGGCGTCCTTGGGGCTGTCCATCAGGATCTTGGGCCTGTCCCCATCCTTGACGCCCCCGGAGCTGTCCCTTCGCGGCGTCTTCTGGCCGCCCTTCAGCTCCAGCGCTGCTCGTGTTGCCCATGGCGGGGGTCTGTGGGGACACAGGAAAGCCGAACGGGGCCTCACTCCAGGCAAAGGGGCAGGGGACTCCCACAACTTAGCGGGTCACAAGGACCCCGAGGAAACAGTTGGAGAGTGCCGGCAGGTTAGCCTAAAGTTAATTTAAATATATTGTTTCCTTATCAGCAATAAGATCATAACTTCCAAAGTCAGATTTTCCTACCTCTCAATTCAAAAGTGAGAGAGAAATGCTTTATATCAGATGGAATGTTGTTTACATTTTATTTCTTGTTTCTACACGATGTAGAAACATTTTGTTCTTATTTCTACATCATGTTTATTCTATTCTGAGTGTACTATTTACCTTTAAATATTTTTTCTCAATTTTAACTTTTTTCAAGTAGAAAATATATAAATATATAAAAAATTAAGACTTCTTAACATTAAATTTATTAATGCATTTAATATATTTGTGTAAGTTTCAGGGGTACCTGGGTGGCTCAGTCGGTTAAGCGTCCGACTTCTGCTCAGGTCATGATCTCACAGCTCATAGCCACATCCGGCTCTGTGCTGACAGCCAGCTCAGGGCCTGGAGCCTGTTTCCTGTGTCTCCCTCTCTCTCTGACCCTCCCCTGCTCATGCTGTCTCTCTCTCAGAAATAAATAAAGCATGGGGCGCCTGGGTGGCTTAGTCAGCTAAGAGTCTGACTTTTGCTTAGGTCATGATCTCGTGGTTCGTGGGTTCGAGCCCCGCGTCGGGCTCTGTGCTGACTGCCAGCTCAGAGCCTGGAGCCTGTTTCAGAGTCTGTGACTCCCTCTCTCTCTGACCCTCCCCTGCTCACGCTGTCTCTCTCTCTCTCTCTCTCCTAGAAATAAATAAAACATAAATAAATAAATAAATAAATAAAACATTAAAAAATTAATATATTTGTGTAAGTTTCAGAGAGTCATGTTTATAGGGTGACCAGTGAGCTTATCTCCTTATTTTCTCCATGCCTGCTGAGTATTTCTTAAAGGGTTGACATACTTAAAGGATTGGAGATTTTGGCTTAAATGGTTTTTTTCCTGGAAATCTTAGAGTCCCCTCTATTAGATTAATATAACCACTTAGTATGCCAAAACTGATCAATATAGGACCACAGGATTTGAAAGACATTCATGCCTTTATTTTTTAATATCTTCTGAAGCTAGACTATTTTTCAAAGGAAACTACTTCCCTTAACTATCCTTAGTATATCCTTAGCACTTCACAAGTAGCAAACAGCTTTTTCAACTATATTACTTCATATCAGAAATGGTGGGGTACCTACTGTGGCACGGAATTCCCCAGGATTCCTCATTGCATGTATCAGTTCCCTAGCAGTATAGGAAAACTCAGTCCATCAGGTCTCAATATTCTTAAAGCAAGACACTCCCTCACTTTGATCAGATTAAATGTGGAAATACTGAAGGGGATTAAAAATACACTCTAAAAAAGCTACATACTGTATGATTCCAACTATATGACCTTCTGGGAAAGGGAAAATGATGGAGATAGTAAAAAGATCAGTGCTTATTCACACTGAAGGAGGAGGGAGTGCTGTAGGGAAGAATAGGTGGAATGCAGGGATTTTTAGGACAGTGATAGGATGTTCTGCATGATAGTGTAATGGTGGATATGTGTCATTATACCTTTGTCAAAACCCCACCGAGTGTCCACCACAAAGAGTGGACCCTAATATAAACTATGGACCTTAATTAGCAATAGTGAATCAATATTGGCTCATCTGTTATAAAAAATGTACCACACTAAGGCAAGGTGTTATTAAGGGAAACTGGAAGGGAAACAAGGAGGCATATGGGAATTCTCTGCACTTTCTGCTCAATACTTCCCTGGAACCGCTTTGAAATATAAAGCATTAATTTTATTTATTTATTTTTTTAATGTTTTTTATTTATTTCTAGGAGAGAGAAAGACAGCGTGAGCAGGGGAGGGTCAGAGAGAGAGGGAGTCACAGACAGAAACAGGCTCCAGGCTCTGGGCTGGCAGTCAGCACAGAGCCCGACGCGGGGCTCAAACCCACGAACCGCGAGATCATGACCCAAGCGAAAGTCGGACGCCTAACCGACTAAGCCACCCAGGTGCCCCAACATTAATTTTAAAAACTCCAGTTAGAGGGGCACCTGAGTGGCTCAGTCGGTTGAGCGAATGGCTTTGCTTCAGGTCATGATCTTGCCTTCCGTGAGTTCTGGTCCCTCATCAGATCAGGCTAGCTGCTGTCAGCACACAGCCTGCTTTAGATCCTCTGTCTCCCTCTCTCTTCGCCCCTCCCTTGCTTGCACTCTCTCTCTCTCAAAAATAATAAAAATGGAGGCACCTGGGTGACTCAGTCAGTTAAGCATCCAATTATGGCTCAGGATGGTGAGTTCAAGCCCAGGGTCCAGCACTTGTCCTGACAGCTCAGAGCCTTGATTCTACTTCGGATTCTGTGTCTCCCTCTCTCTCTGTCCCTCATTCTCTGTGTATATGTGTGTGTCTCTCTCTCAAAAATAAGTAAACATTAAAAAATTAATAAATATTTTAAAATATATAAAAAATAACATATAAAACTCCAGTTGGAAAGTGAACAGGAGATATGAAAAGACATTTCATCAAAGAAGATGTACATGGCAAACAAATACATGAAAAGACTTTCAACATCACCAGCCAGTGAGAAATGCAAATTAATACCACAGATGTCACTGTGCACCTATAACAATGGCTAAGATAAACAGCAACAGTGCTAACTGCTAGTGAAGACACAGAGAAACTGGATCTCTCATATATCGTTCATGGGAATGCGAAATGATACAGCCACTTGGGAAAAGTTTCTTTGTTTGAAAAATGTGCATTTGTTTATTTATTTATTTTTGAGAGAAAGAGAGGAGTGCATGTGGAATGAGGGAGGGACAGAGAAAGAGGCAGAAAGAGACAGAGAACCCAAATAAGTTCCGGCCTTTCAGCAGAGAGTCTGATGCGGGGCTCGAACTCTCAAACCGCAAGATCATGACCTGAGCTGAAATCAGACACTCAACTGCCACCCAGGTGCCCCTAGAAACATTTCTGAAAAACTGAAATATGCACTTACCATATAACCCAGCAATGGCGCTTCTGGGTATTTATACCAGAAAAACGAAAATCTATGCCCATCCAAACCCTGTACCTAATTCTTTACAGCAGCTCTACCTCTAATAGATCCAAACGAGAAGGAATCAAAGTGTCCCTTGATAGGTGGATGGTTCAACAAACCCTGTTACATCCATACCATGAAATACCGCTCAGAAATAAAAAGGAACAAACTATTTAGATAGACACAACTGGAGAAATCCTAAAGGCATTATACTGAGTGAGAAGAGTCACCTTCAAAAAGTCACATGCTTTATGATTCAATTCATATAACTTTCTTGAAATTACACACTTCTAGAGACAGAATAAAGATTAGTAGTTCAGGGGTTAGCAATGGTGGGACAGAGAGATGGATGTATATGAGTGTCAAGAAGTAGCATAAGGGAGATCTTTGTGGTGGAATTGTTCTTGATGAAGGCGGTAGGTACCCAAATTTACAATAAAACTATACCATTGTGCCAATGGCAATTTCCTGGTTTTGACATTGCACTATAATCACAGAAGATGTAACTACTGGAAGAAACTAAAAGGCACACAGGACGTCTCTCCACTATCTTTGAAATTTCCTGTGAATATGTAATTATTTCAAAATAAAAGTTCTTTTAAAGTCAAGTATGGGCTGAAAGGATATATTTGCAACACAGACATGACACTATTAGCATCAGAGTATACAAAGAATGCCTACAAATACAAAGATTGAAACAAGCAATCCAATAGAGCATGGGAAAAGAACTGAACAGACCTGCAGAGGAAACACAACTGCCCAATAAATATGAGAAGATGCTCAGCCTCAGAGGAACTGGAGAAATGTAAAGGAATACTGATGAGTTGTTATTTCATTCCCTTCAGGTTGGCAAACGTTTGTAAACCTGACAATCTGAAGCGTTGACCAAGATGTAGGAAAGCTGGAACCTGATTCGTTATTGGTAGCAATGGTGCAACATTGTGGAGAGAAGTTGGTAGCAAACTGAGCATGTACATAAGCTTTGGCCCATCAGTTCCGCATTTTGGTTTATGCCTTTCCTGTTGGTTTATATAGGATTATAGCTTTTTTGGTCGGGGGGAGAAAGAGAAGAGGAGAGGGGCAGAGGGAGAGACAGAACCTTAGGCAGGCTCCATGCTCAGCTTGGAGTCAACACTCAGTGGGAACCCTGTTGTGGGGCTCCACATGGGGCTCACCTCAGAGTTCACCAGGAAGCTCGATGGGATCATGACCTGAGCCAAAATCAAGAGTTGGATGTGCAACTGACTGAGCCACCCAGTCGCCCTGAATTATGCCATTTAACTCAGCCTAACATGCATATACAACAATGTTCATAGTGCTCCTGGATATGTGTATGTAAAACTGTGTGCTAAAAAGGCTATAAAGACATGTAGTAAATTCAGAATATTGATTACCTCTGAGAAAAGGAGAGAAATAAGAAATTTGAGATGAAAGGCAAAAAGTACCTCAAATTTGTCCCTAGTATTTTATTCATTGAATTTTAAAAAGATTTGAAGTCACTGTGGTAAAATGCCAACAGGTGTCAATTTGGAGCAAGAGGGTACCAAAAGGCGGGTGACAAAAGAAGTGTTTGTTATAATATGTTTGTACTTATGGAAGTTTATTTTCCTTGCTATTATGAAACATACACCACACAAACCCAAACTGGGTTTATCTCAGATACAAGATTGTACAAGAAAACCATTAATTAATATAAAATAGCACAGGAACAGTTAATAGAAAGTAAAAATTGTCTCAAATACAAAACTGTTTGATGATAATGACAAAATGTTCTAGAAAAGAGTTATTTTACACCAGGAAAAGAAGGGGTGCCTGGGTGGCTCAGTCGGCTAAGTGTCCGACTTCGGCTCAGGTCATGATCTCACGTGGGTTTGAGCCCCGTGTTGGGCTCTGTGCTGACAGCTCAGAGCCTGGAGCCTACTTTGGATTCTGTGTCTCCCTCTCTCTGACCCTCCCCTGCTCACGCTATCTCTATCTCTATCTTTCAAAAATAAATAAAACATTTTTTAAAAGGTTAGAATAGTAACAGGAAGGGTTTTTTTTTTTTTTTAATTTGAGAAAGATGATGCAACATCAGTCCACACACACACACACCTCTACATCCCTATGAACCGGAAGTGGCTTGGGGTGTGGTAGCCAGAGGGAGTGTGTGTGTGTCTGAATGAACATGAATGTATGTAGTTGGAAATAGTGATGTGAAGAGTGGTCCGTGGTGAGGGGAAGTAGGGTTATCAGAGACTCTGAGAAAATACAATCCACAGAGAAACAAAACCAGACACAGTACAGGGAGACCCACACCTTCAGACCTGGCTCTGCTCCCCAGCATCGTGCTATGCTGTCTTGTATTTCACAAACTCAAGTCAGAAAAGTTATGGTCCAGGGCACCTAGGCTGCTAAGTTGGTTAAATGTAAGACTTCAGCTCAGGTCACAGTCTCAGGGTTCCTGAGTTCGAAGCCTGCATAAGGGCTTTGGGCTGTCAGTTCTTTTTTTTTTTTTTTTTTAATAGTTTATTGTCAAGTTGGTTTCCATATAACACCAAGTGCTCATCTCCACAAGTGCCCTCCTCCATGCCCATCAACCCCCATCCCCGACCCCCATACCCATCAGTCATCAGCTTGTTCTCAGCATTCAAGAGTCTCTCATGGTTTGCCTCTTTCCCTCTCTCCCACTATTTCCCCCCCTGCTTCTCCCCCATGGTCCTCCGTTAAGTTCCTCCTAATCCTCCTCTACGTGCAAACATATGGTAGCTGTCCTTCTCTGCCTGACTTATTTCGCTCTGGGCTGTCAGTTCTGATCCTACTTTGGATCCTCTGTCTCCCTCTCTCTCTGCCCCTCCCTCACTCATCATCTCTGTCTCCCCCCCAATTAAATAAACAATAAAAATGTTTAATTGTTTATTTATTTTTGAGAGAGAGAGAGCAACAGAGGAGAGCAGGGGAGGGGCAGAGAGAGGGAAACACAGAGTCTGAAGCAGGCTCCAGGCCCTGAGCTATCAGTAGAGCCCAACCCAGGGCTTGAACCCACAAACCATGAGATCATGACCTGCGCTGAAGTCAGACATTTAACCAACTGAACCACCCAGGTGTCTCCACACCAAACTTTTTAAAATGTTTATTCATTTATTTTGAGAGAGAGAATGTGTGCAAGCAGGGGAGGGACAGAGAGAGAGAGAGAGAGAATCCACACTGTCAGCTCAGAGCCTGATAGAGGGATCCAACTCACGACTGTGAGATCGTGACCTGAGCCGAAATCAAGAGTTGCCTACTTAACCAACTGAGTCACCCAGGTACACCCCACACCAAACTATTATTAAGGAGGAACCCCTGGGAAGTGGAATTGGAGAAGAGAAGATAGGGAGAGAGGAATTATTATTTTGTCAAATAAGCCTGAGTTACTCATGAAATGTTTCATGCAATAAAGGAAAGCAATGCTAGGGGCACCTGGGTGGCTCAGTTGGTTGAGCATCCGACTTTGGCTCAGGTCATGATCTCTAACAGTGAGTTCCAGCCCCATATCTGGTTCTGCTGTCAGCTCAGAACCCAAATCTGATCCTCTGTCCTCCTGTCTCTCTGCCCCTACCCTGCTTGCATGCTCTCTCTCTCTAAAATTAATAAACAAGAAGAAGGAGAAAGAAGGAGAAGGAGAAGAAGACAACGATGAAGGAAGGAAGGAAGAGAAAGAAAGAAAGAAAGAAAGAAAGAAAGAAAGAAAGAAAGAAAGAAAGAAAGAAAGAAAGAAAGAAAATCAATGCTAGAGCCAGTTATGGAATTAAGCAGGGCATCTCATTGCCTTTCTCACTTCATTTTTCTAGTAGGCTCTATAATTCCAACAGCTGTAGTTAAGCCCCGTTGAACTTTCTGTTGGATTTCCTTTTCTTAATTGGGTTGCTCTTGCTGATGTTATTAATAGTTTTGATTGTTTTTTCTACTTACCACTCTGATCTGCAACTTCCTTCCATAGCCTGCACAAGTTACAGTTCCTTGGAGCTCTTGGTTTCCTTTGGGTGTCCATTTTAGAGATTGCATAAAAATTACAACATGGATTTAGCAATAATTATTTTAACTATGAGAAAAAGGTGTTGTGCACTAGAGGGACTTAAGGGTTTTTTTAAAAAATATTTTATTTATTATTGAGAGAGAGATAGAGACAGCATGAGCAGGGGAGGGTCAGAGAGAGAGGTAGACACAGAATTAGAAGCAGGCTCCAGGCTCTGAGCTGTCAGCACAGAGCCCGACTCGGGGTTAGAACCCACAAACCGTGGGATCATGACCTGAGCCGAAGTCGGACGCTTAACCGACTGAGCCACCCAGGCACCCCTAGAGGGACTTAAGTTTGAGATGTCACGAATCAGATCATTAATTCCCAATCCTAGCTGCTCATTGGAAACTTTCACACTTTTTTAAAAATGCAGATTCAAGGGCTCCTCCCCTAGATATATGGAATCCAACAATAATTCAATAGTACTTTAAAGATGCCCAGGTGATTCTATGGTCAGACAGGTTTGGTTTTTTATTTTTTATTTATTTTTTAATGTTTTATTTATTTCTAGCAGAGAGGGAGAGAGAGAGAGACAGCGTGAGCAGGGGAGAGTCAGAGAGAGAGAGAGAGTCACAGACTCTGAAACAGGCTCCAGGCTCCGAGCTGGCAGTCAGCACAGAGCCCGACGCGGGGCTCGAACCCACGAACCGCGAGATCATGACCTAAGCGAAAGTCGGACGCTTAACCAACTAAGCCACCTGGACGCCCCTTATTTTGTTTTTATTTAATAAAATTTTCTTTTACTAGACTCACATTTCCTTTTTTTTTTTAAAGGGATTTTAATTTTAAGAGTGAGAGAGACAGAGACAGAACATGAATGTGGGAGGGTCAGAGAGAGGGAGAGACAGAATCTAAACCAGGCTCCAGACTCTGAGCTGTCAGCATGGTGCTGGAACTCTCAAACTTTGAGATCATGACCTGATTCGAGGTTAGATGCTCAACCAACTGAGCCACCCAGGGTCCCTCTCATTTTTTTTTTAAAAAAATTTTTAAGTTTATTTATTTTCAGAGATTGAGTGTGTGAGTAGGGCCTGGGCAGAGAAAGAGTGGAGAGAGAAAATCCCAAGCATGTCCACGCTGCCAGCACAGAGCCCAAGCAGGGCTCTATCCCACAAACTGATTTCATGACCCCAGGCGAAATCAAGGGTTGGAGGTTTAATTGACTGAGCCACCCAAGTGCTGCTCCCAGGCTCCCATTTCCTATCTCCTATCTCTCATTATCACAGTCTATTGTCTCACTATTCATGGTGAATTGCCATAGAAATTACTAGTATTATAGATTGTCACACAAATTCAATTTGTACCAAATCTGGCCAATGTCATCACTTCATGACATGTGGCAAGCAGAATGGGTAATTATCTGATTGAGAAAAATAATACAACCTACAAAATAGCTGAGAGATACAGCATTTCAAAAAATCATTCTTGAGAAGTATCCACTGAGAAAAACCCAGCAGAGCCCAGGGGATGTCTTAATAGGCACTGCTCACAGAAGCTATTAAGTGTCGTGCCACGCTCTGTGCCAGAAAGCATTTCCCACTACCCCCCATCCCTGGGAAGGAACTAAGCTTCCAAAGGGTTAAGTAACATTGTTGATAAAGTAACTTCTAATAATCACCTAATCACCATCGAACCATGTGTCAGGCCCTGAGAATTTATCAGCGGTTCATTAGCCCCTGTCTGTTGACTCTTAGGTTTGTACCAAGCACATGATCAAAGCATTTTATATTTACAACAACCATCTGAGGGATATACTGTTGTTTTTTCCATTTTATAAAGAAAAATCAGTCAACCTGCACCCAGATTACATTTGGGTGCTTGAGTCTGAAATTTTAACCTTGTCACATCCACTCTGAAACCCACACAAATGCATGAGTGCCTTAAAGCTCAGCGGGATGGAAACTGTGGCCATTCCTGGGGAGCAATCTTAGGGGTGGGCAATCTTCCTATAATCCAACCAAGTGCTGGCCCCACCCATGTCAACATTCAAGACAGTGCTTCCCAAATGGACTCCATATTACAGATTCTCAGGTGACTGCCCTAGAGATGAGGGGGCATGGTTGGGGGGCCCAAAAATCTGGAATGTTAATAATCACACCAGGTGATTCTTGTCAGGCAAAAGTGGAAAACACTGTTTAAGTACCTCCAGACAAGCAGAGGTTTGTTTCCTAGCCCTCCTGAGTGGTACACTTGCTACTTTTCAGGGAGGGCACAACCACCAATGCCAGCTTCCCACAGCGACCTTGGGCACAGGAGGGAAGAACACTTCTGTCCTAATTGCATGACTGTTGCAGAGTTTGCTGAAATGTCTGCACTTCACCCCCACCCCGCTGTTTTATGGAGTTGGCTGAAGAGCTTTTGCATCTTTTACTTGGCCATCATCATCATCCTCTCTGTGGGCAGAAGTTGGGTGGACTGGGCCAGGAAACCAAGAGGGACACCAGGGACTCTCCGCTGAGCTGAGCGTCACCCCATCCTAGGCTGTAACAGTGTGGAAAGTGTCTCCCTTATTGTATGAAAGACAGCAGACTAAGGAGGCACAGGCAGAACAATCAACCCAAAGGGGATGTGAAATGGAATGGGCACCATGATTACAACTCTGCTAAAGTGTATCTTTGGGGCGGACTGACCCTGGAAATGAATAAGCAGAAATGAAAACATCTGTGTGATACAGTGGTAGGAATGGGGAGGAGATTTCTGTTGTCGCTATTTTTTAATCTTTCTCTAATGTCATTATATGGACCTAGTAATGAAAGGTATATTGTTAAAGTGTCCTAGCATAGAAGATGCTTTTCTCTAAACATTTCTGTTCTGGAAGTCATTTTAGTTATCATATTGATTTGGTAGAAAAATTGTAGGGGCGTCTGGTGGCTCAATAGTTTAAGCATCTGACCTTGGCCCAGGTCATGATCTCATGGTCCATGAGTTCAAGACCTGCATCAGGCTTTGTGCTGACCACTCAAAGCCTGGAGCTGCTTTGGATTCTGTGTCTCCCTCTCCCTCTGCCCCTTCCCTCACTTTCACTCTGTCTCTCTCTCTCAACAATAAACAATTTAAAAAGTTTTTTAATTGTAGAAGCTAAGAATAATCCTGTTGCTTGATATCACAAATATTCTAATATCCAATTCGGTCTAATTATCCAATTAAAACAAATTCCTGTCAGCATGGAGACCCGAGCCTTTAAATCTGATGTACAGGAAGGCAGAAGGGCATAGAGGCTAAAATGTACGTTGGAATCAGGCAGACGTGGGCTCAGATCTTGGGTTCAGAACCTGCCAGTTCTGTGA